GGGGCGAAGGAGCCCGTGCCGCGCGCGCTGTAATGAGGCGCGCGCTAACAGACGGCGCTCCGCGCGCTGCACTGCGGATGGGGGGCCGGGTGCAAGCGCAATCTCGGGCGCAGGTGCGGGAGGTCGTGCGAGCGCAAGTGGAGGCAAGGAGGCAAAAGCGGCGCCTCTCGGGATCAACGGGGGCAACGTGGGGCGGAAGCGGAAGCAATGCGGAAAACTGGGTTGAATAAGTGTCGCAATTGTACAAACAGGGCGACATTTCAAAGAGCTCCGAAGTAATTGACGCCATCTGGTAACGTGTGTGCGCTATGTGGTAACGCTACGTGTATGTGTATAAACGAAACTGGAATGATAAACTGCTAAATATAAGTCTCGCAAAATCGTAATGAGATCGCAGATATTGGTCTAGACCCATCGCGCAAGAAGGAAGTGCCATGCGTGTTGCAATACGAGTAGGTGTGCAAACTAAGCTCCAAATTGGTGGATCGAGGTGTGGAAACGTATAACACAATAAGGAAATATGATAAGAAGGATAGTTGAAATACACTTTTTTTTTAATAATTGCTTGTTCGACAGTTTTTCTTATAAGGACTCCAATGTATGGGGGTTCCTTTAGGTAAATGTAGAAATGTGATATCGCAAATAGCTTAAAAGCGGACGCGGTGGCGCGTGAGGGCGCAGTCGCACTTCGGGAGAAGTACAGATAAAAATTGCAGACACAGACACAAAAATAGATACTTGCTTCCAGATGTGTCAGGTGTGTTACCAACTAGGGGGAGGAAGGCGGATAAAAGTATTATGAAATTAGGCAGCCAGTTTGAAAACCGAGAAATAAGAAGTGAGAAATGGAAATCCAAGAGATGGTGAATTGGTGGAGAGGTGAAGTAATTCGCCACATTTCTTAGACACTACCTCAGCAGTAGACAAAACGTGGTAATAATAACCAACGCATAATCTTATTAATACATTTTTTTTATTTTCACATAACACTGCAGTATCAATTTAATATCTACAACGATCGCGTCATGTTCAAAATCAGTTGTTATTCCGTTTACAATTTTTAGCAACAAAAAAATACAATACCATTTTTACCAATAAAAATAATGTTTTCAGTTTGTTTTCTTCATTATAGAATCATAAATGCATTTTTTAAATTTCAAACGATAATATATTTCGATGTTCGTGTATTACTGTCATTTCGAAACTAGCGAAGAGAAACTCACAACGAGCCTTGTTTACCTACTTCAGATATAGAATTCCTAAATTAGTGCTAAACTGGAATATCATCCCGCTTACTTTGTGAATTCACTGTGAATTCAGTATCAATAATACAATATTTTTGGCATCTAATCGCTATTTACTTCCCGAAATTACAAGAAGCAGTACGCTACCTACCAAGAACGTAACCGACAAGGCTGTGTGAAAGCATTCGCCAAGTAGGAGGGATTACAAGAGTGTTCACGCACGCACACAGAGAGAAACAAGCCCACGTGTAAACACAGGCGGCGACGCCTGACCGGAGGCCGCGGCCGTCCGCCGAGCGCGTCGGCGTCGCTGCGTCTTCCTTCGTTAGGGGCTGCTGCGCCCTAATCTCGTTAATGGCAGCTCGGCGAACGTCCGTCCTTCCGCTCGCCCACGCCTCCGCCTGCGTCGCGGGCTCAGCCTGCGCGACGCTGATTGGTCAAATCCGGCAACCGCGGATGCGCGCTTCCGCCGGCCGACGGATATCGAAACCAAACAGCGGACGGCTGCTCTCGCATGCTTGGACGGCGGCGGTGGCGGTGGCGGCGATGTCAGCGACAGGGGCGCTCGGCGGAACGGCTGGCTCCTCAAATCAAACACCGAGGGCCTCCGTCCCCGATCCGCCGCAAGACGCCACTGAGTCGTGAACGCGTCCAGCCCCTCGCCGCGCCGCGCCGCTAATAAATGCTAAAACTTCAGCCCGGCTTCCGAAATCCCACGTCGCCGGACGCTGCGCAGAATTTATGGAAATTGGAAGGACTCGCATCAATCCCTACAGCGGTTCTGTATATATTGTGAGTCGGCGTTTCACACAGTATGGAGCTTAGGAACCGGTGGGGCGAAAATCATACAAAAGCGACCGGTTCTCTTTGAACTGGGAATCACTTTCCGAATCTCCTCAAGTGTTGAAGTAATCGTGATATTCCTCAAACGAGGCTCCGAACGGTCGCAAAAACTGAAAAGCCATCTGCTGATTGCGCGGGAGTCTTCCGGCTCCACGTTTGCCAACTGTTGGACTGCAGAGCACACTACGCTCATCGGCGCAGAGCTGCTATTCGAAAATTAACTTCCGCTTTTATCACACAAGGATGCTGTCAACGGCTTGAATGTGCCGAGTAAATTACTATAATGAGTG